CAAGGAGTTCGGCAGGAGGGAGGGGGAAGTGAGGCAAGCCACACAGTTCAGAAAAAGGGGGGGAGGGGCAGAGGAAACAGAAGTAAACAGAAGGAAATGTTTAGCAGAAGAAAATAAGATTACCTGAGTAGCAAGATGCATGGTCCCAGCTACAAAGTAGGGGAAAAAAGATCCAAAACTTAACGGAACTTAGTGAGCCAGGAAAGTGCCATTTCTTGAAAGCTTAAACCCCAGAAGTGTCATGCAACCCAAAGCAAGAAAGTTATCAGAAGAATCACTGGTAAATTCCTACCTGAAGTCTAATCTATCAAAGGCATCAGAAGAAAGAAATGAGGGGGAGGGGGAAAATACTACAAGGAGAAAACAGCTATAGTACCATGTTCAGCCTTGCTGCTTATACAGGGAACCCTCATCTGCAAGTTAAGCATACCACTCTCATTCTGTAACTGGTTGCACACTATGGTAATCTTACCAGCAAATGGCTCATTGAAGGAAAAAAAAAAAAAAAAGGAGGGAAAGGGAAATCCTACACAGAAATGATAAGAAAAACAGGAAAGATGGTTTACACCTCACAGAAAGTCTATGGACCAAAACAAAGAATTTCAGTGTCTCTTGATGCAGTGGGGTGTGGCTGAGCTGAGATTTACACTGGTAAGAAAACAATTTCAACTATGAACTGCAAGAGCATGCTATCAGTTAAATGACTGAGTCAGTAGAGTCATAAACTGGAACAGCAATCACTTCTGTCAGATTAACTTGTTTCCAAACAAGTATAGTTACACAATTCTTCATCGCACTGTCAGAACATACTTGACAAGTGAAATTTAAGCTTAACCAGCATAAACCTCGCATCTGCAAGATAAATCATGCATGTGGCAAATTGTTCTTCCACATTCTCTGCATGCTAGATCATAATCTCAGAAGGGTTCACTCAACTCCATTCATTTAACTGAAATGCAAGCTGTGAGGCCTGGTTATGACTCTGCAAGTTAAAGGCCCTCCCAATGAATTAGAAGACCAGAGAAAACATCAAATGAAGACTTGTTCAAGGAAGAAAACAAATATTCTGAAAAGCTTTAAAGACATCATTCATCTTGGCTTCTTATCACTTAGCAAAGCAAGATGCCTCAAAGCTAAGCTCTAGTAATCACTATTGCAAGCAAAGGACAAACATCAGCTCCTATAATCACTTTTTTTGACTGGTAGGCAAAAAATCTTCTCACAGTTTCTTCCTCAGTGTCAATATCCCTTAACCCTTCTTAGAATATGGAAAACACTATTCCTACTACTCAAAGTCCTATGATGACACTTTTCATGTGCAAATGTCATTTGTTCACTGTGTACCCTGATTCCCTGTACCTGATTACCTACAACACAGTCCCAGCAATCCCCCAAAACCAGTTTTGTCATTCTTTTCCCTGATCACCCTAGCTTAATTCCTCACTTTTTCCAGCACTACACTCTGCGCAGGCCCTCCCTCTCTCTCACCAAAGGACAGCTTTCTCCCGTAGCATCTGCTGTTATGTAGCAGAGTATACACACATCTAATGGATTAGAAACTCCTCCCAGTTCACAGACACTAGCATCTTTCTTAGTACTAAGTTCAGCTGGGAATTCTACCCACATGCAATGGGTCTCCACTTTGGCTACAAACAGACGGATGGATTTTTCCCATCTCTAGAGCCTCAAAACAATCAAGGAAATCTTACCCTTTCCACCTGCTTGTCTTTCAATCATTTCACCTCTTTTAGAGGCTTCTGTGCCTCCAGTCTGCTCACCTGCCCAATTTTCTTTATGGCAGATGAAACACTGATATGTGCATCAGTTCTGAAAGCAATGAGAAAAAACAATCAATGCTGTCAATTTTATGTTGCTGCTTATTTTCCACAGCACCAAAAGCAGAACGGTTGTCTAACTGCAAACTCCAGGGAAAGGAGACTGCACTTGCCTACATAAGGTTGTTTTTTAGAAAATATTACTAACTGCACATATGACAGTTTCTGTGAACTCATCACACATAAAGAGGCATATTTTATTCCTTCTTTCCCCCATATATTCTGTGTGCGCAAACCTCGCAGGTTTTTGTTATACAAAATTCTCTAAATTCACCACGATGTCATCTCTGTAGGCTGCCTACATTTTTCTCTCCCCTATCCTACCCTTCCTCGCCTTTTCTACAGCACCTACGCTTATGTCTTTTTGCCCCAACACAAGATCAGAATAACCTCCCTCTTACAGAGCTTTTGTGTGCTATTTCCTCCCCTCTCTCAAGTCAAGATCACCAATTCATTCATTCCACATTCACTGCTGCAACCAGAGTCCCTACAATATCTTCCTCTAGTCCACATCAGTTCCAGCAATCCCAACACACAAGCTCTTCCTATTCCACCTTCCCACTCAAATATATGATTCTTAGTTTTTCTCTGTACTTAGGATTCTGCATGCCTCCCCCCACTCATTCTTCTCTCCCTGTATCAAAACTGCATTTCTCCTTTCCTTTCTGAAAAGTAAATTATTCACAGGATTAACAGTACAAACCTGTTCTTTATTCTACATTCAAATACAGACCCACTTTTAAAAGGCTGGCTGCTCTCAGCAGAAGACTCAGTGCATCCCTCACTTCTTACAGCCTTCTCTGCAAAAATACAGTTTAATTAACACAATTTTTCATTCACATAGGAAACTATGCCACAAAATTTTAGCTTTAGAAACCACTTCCTCTAAACAGAGATCTAGAGACCTAGGTGCCAAACAAGCACCACTTGTCTTGGAAAATGTTATTTGTTGCCCATACTTAAGTTTTCACAAAATAAAGGTTAAAAGATCTGTTCTGAGCAAACAGCAACTAAAAGGTCACATACTTGTGCCTGACAGTATTAGGTTCTGAGAAAATAGACTTTCCACATACAAAGTGCAGAATCCCCTCCTCTCTCAAATCACTGCTTCCAAGAGGGTTCACTTAACACCATCAGTGCAGTAATTTCTCTTATCAATGTGCAAAAAGCATTTCATCCTGTTATTGTAATACTGTTCTCAGATTAACACGATTGTGTAACACTGTTAGGACACTATGACTATCTGAGTGAAGATGGCTATTATTTTTTCCACAGCTTTGCTAAAAAGATATTGGGCAAGTTTCTTAATGGCTATCCTTGAAGACAAGGAGGCTTCACCGACATCAAACATGTACTATGCATCATTTCTGAATTCCTAAGCTATCTCTGGACAGGAACAAGTTGGGGAATACAAAAAAAAAAAAATATTCACAGAATGGTTTGGGTTGGAAAGGACCTTAAGATCATCTAGTTCCAACCCCCCTGCCATTGCCAGGGATACCCCACACTAGACCAGGTTGCTCAAGACTCTGCCCAGCCTGGCCTTGAAGTTTGCCAGGGATGAAGTATTTATCACTTCTTTGGGCAACCTATTCCAATGCCTCGCCACGCACACAGTAGAGAATTTCTTCTTTATGTCTACCCTGAACTTCCCCTGTTTAACACATAAATGAAACACCTGAAAGCACTGAAATGACAAAATCTACTTGCACACCAGAAACTGAGAACCCAAAACGAGCTGAGACTCAAAATTCCTGAAACATGCCAACCAAACATAAGAGGAAAAAAAAAAAAGTTCCCCCCCCCCCCCCCCCCCCCCCCCCAAACCCTCAACAAACATACACCTCAAAGGTAAATAGGTAAATGAACCAGAGACTAAGATATAAGATACCAGTGGAAATTATTGGAAAATCCAGTAAGGCAGCCAGACAACATAATCAATAGCCTAAAAGGCATACTGATCTTAATAATTGTTCTCTACAAGCCTGGCTCATCCTGTAAGTATAGGTACAGACCACAAAGTATCCTAAGCCTACATAACAGCTATAATTGTTCTTTCCTTTGAAAGAAAGGAAGCTTGCTTAAACTAGGTAATGGAGTGAATGTCTTAAGTTCCTCATATTTCAATGTAAATGCAAAAGCATCAATATCTGGTTTAAGGTCACGGGAGACTGAGAATGCATAAACTGGAAATAGAAGCATATATTCTTGTACTGTCTTCATGTACTTTTACTTCCTAAGCATGTACTGATGATCTCAGTGAGCAAGAATCTAGCCTAATATCTTGTCTTACCTGGTATGGCCATTTTTGCCCATTAATAAACTAACCCAACACTCCTCCCCTTTTCCTGATGGCTTTGAACATTACTTGGAAGAGTTTAACCCTGTGATCTTCAGGAAATAAAGCAAACCTGAAGCAGCAACTAAATTAGATTGCATAAGCCATGCAACCCTACATTTTAACTGCATGCTCTGCAGTACTCAGTGACTTCGGCTGTAAAAAATAACAGCCTAATAAATGAGATCACTCGCGACTGAATTTTAAATCTGGGGGAGGAAGGGGGTTTAACATGTGCTCTTCCCCGTTTTTCCCCCCAGAAGAATGACAGAAACTCAGTTTTGCTCTCAGATCTCTAGTAAATTACTAGCCGCCCTTATTTCCCTAATAGGTAAGAAAACCTAAGGCCTCTGGCAGCTTCTAGCTGACGCCATCGCTAATTCCACACCCCCTTTTTTGACAGGATTGACGGCAGAGTAAGCCGCCACTGCCTTCTACACAAACTTACACAACGCCAGAGCTCTACCACCACGGTCTCGCACGCAGTGCCCCAGGCCTGGCTACCCGCGGCTCTGCCGAGGGCAGGGCGCAGGAGCAGACAGGTATGGCCCCCGCGAAGCGGCACTGCCCCGGGGGCAGCGTGCTGAGGCGGGGCGGGCGCAGGCAGCCATTCTAACGGCTCGACCCGAGCATCACGACCATTTCCTGCCCCGCCACGGCAGCTACAGCAGCTCAAGGCACCTTCACCCACCGTGCCCAGCCCGGGCTCGCTGCCCCTTCCAGATCTCCTTTAGCCCTAACTCCCAACCCTCCCTTCCCGCTCCTCAAGCTGCGGGCAGCGAGCGATCCCCCGCGAGCCGAGTACAGCCACAACGCCCTCCCCTCACCTTTCGGGAACAGCAGCTTCACCTCCCCGTTCTCCTCCCGGCCTGCCACGCTCAGCGCCCCGCCGCCATCTCCCACCGCCGCGACCACGGGCAGGGCGCCGTGCTTCCTCTTCTCCTTATCCCGCTTCTCTTTGGGCCTCTTCGGCTTGGCGCTCCCACCGCCAGCGCCGGCCGCCCCGCCGCTCCCGCAGCCTCCCGCCTCACCGGCCAGAGCCAGACGGTGCCGGTGGTGGCGGTGCTGGTGTGGCTGGTAGGAAGAGGAGGGAGAGGCGGACGAAGGCAGCAAAACAGCAGGAGACAGCAGCTTCCGGGGCAGTTGAGAAGGGAAAGCGAAGCTCCCCCCGCTCCCGGAGGGGCCAGAGGAGAGCGCGGGGAAGCCCCACGCCGCGGGGTTGCTGTAGCTCGGCACGACCGCGGGCAGTGGCAGTGACTGCTTGCTGCTCCCGCCACCGCCGCCCCCTTCACCATTGACGCGCTTAGTACCCTTCAGGCTCCTCTCATCGGCTCCCTTCATCTTCTTGGCGGCTGGCTGGGACCCACGGGAAACCTTCGCGTCCGAGGCCGACCTAGCGCCAAACGGCTCCAGCTCGGGCGACGCCGCGCCACGGACAAGACTCGGCAGCTCCGCCATTTTGAGCTCCTGCTTCTATTTACTCTGCGCTCGCCTCAACCGACTGAAGCGGGAGGGGCGGCAGACATCCTCGCCTCCCCCAATAGAAAGAGGAGGCGCCGGAGAGGCACGGGGATTGACCAATCGCAGGGCGAGGAGGGGGCGGGCTGTCAGGGGATTGGGGGAGGCGGGCTCGGCTGAGTACGCAGTCGGAGGGGTGTCGTTGTGAGGGCGGGCGCAGCAGCCGTTGCCTGGGGAGGGCCGCGGGCCAGGAGGCGGTGCTCGGGGCGGGGCCGTGGTCCGCAATCCGGGCGGGTGTAGCGGGAGAGCCCCTCGTGCCAGGGGTGTCAGGGCAGGCAGCCACCCCGAGGGATGGGGGGCCGAGGCAGCCGTGAGGAAGGCCCGGGGCTGAGGGGACGCACCCCGGGGAGCCCCTCCGTGGAGACCGTGGTAGCCGGCCTGTGGCGCGTTACAGCGGGTTCCGGAGGCACTAGCGAGCCGAGAGCCGATTTTCGCTAATTCTGAGGTTTTGAGTAGCCCAGCTGCCGCCCAAGGCGGTGAGGGGATCCCTGCAGCCCCGAGGGACGTTCCCTGAGAAAGGCTTCTGTTTAGAGATAGGGAAGTTTGGAATACCGCCTTTCCCGGGTTACCCAGGCAGCAGCCTGTGAGTCGATGAGTGCGGGCAGCTGCGGCGCTCGGGGGCGGTTCAGACGGAGCTCTGTGCGCCAGCGGGTCTCGGCTAAACCCGAGTGTTCCACAGCCCGCCAGGTCATCGGAGGAAGTCAGCCCACGGCCTGAGGTCTGAGGCAGATGCTTCAAAGGTTTGCTGCGGTGTGGGACATTCGGGTGTGAGTCTCATCAACAAGATCACTGACACCAGACTTCTGTGCTTCAGTAAAGATACTGCGCTGCTGCAGCCTCCAAAGCCAAAATAGCAGCGTGGCCTACAGGGTAGGGTTTATTGTCACAAGCAGGAGCACTCCACGTCTATAACTGCCATAGCCCTGCTCAGATGCAGCAGAGACTGAAATTCTCCCAAGACTCAGTGCAAGCAGGAAACGGGCACAGAAATAAATCAAAGGTGAGCCCTTGTTTCCTGGATTGTTTGCATTGCTGTTCTCCTGCTCCGGTCAAATTTTGCTCCTGCAAATCTTCTTGTCACAGTGAAAAGAGCAGAGTAGCCAGTTTTATTACACTTTATCTGGCCGGCTGCTGCCGAATGAAATTGCTCTGCGTAGTTTTGCATGTGATGTAGTAGCAGACAGACAGGTTTTGAGATTAGATTTCTTTTGCTTCACATGCTGTTTTCATTTGAGCTGCAGCTGATCAGCCTCAGAATAGGCTTGCTCCTAGCTCTCTATCTTCTGCTTTATCTTTTACAGATCGTAAACCAGACAGAATCTGGTTCAGTGTTCATCTCAACAGCAGTGAAGAATACATTTTCCATACCCAGCCAACTCTGCTTAAAGGATTTTTCCTTCACATGATTCAAGTCTCACTACTGGGAGAGTGTATCCTCACACTGTTTCTGGGCATTAGGGGGAAAATGGCATCAGCACCAAAGCACAGGCAGAGCATTTCACAACGTGTTTGAGCAATAGTCAACTAACATCCAATCCCAGACTGAAATCCAGGTACAAATCCACCTGTATGTATGTAGGCTGGTGTAACTAGAATAGGACTATGAATGTGAAGGTCATCTTCAGCTGCCTTAGAAATTTATTACTTGTATTATGGGTGAATAAAAACCTATGCATTTTAATACTCTAGAATGAAAAATTGTAGGCACCTCATGGCACTGTCTCAGCCTTGCAGGCCTTACAACCCACTTCATCTTATTTCTATGCTGGTATTGATAACAAACCCTCAGTATGTTAAGTTCATTCAATAAACTTCATATAGGCCACAACTGTATTTTCACCCTGTCACGTTTGGGGGGCTTTGAAAAACAGAACAGCATTTCCTGAGGGCTTTGATCTTCAACTAGAGTAAATGCTAGGGAGTGCTTTCAGTCCGTGAAACTTGACCACAACCTCTCTGAAATGCCAAAATCATCTAGGAGTACATTACTTTTCTCCACGTGGCAGGCTTGGCAAGATTTACTAGGCTAACTAGTTAGATAGCTGTCTAAATAGCTGAATACCTTCAAAGGTGCACTTACATTAATGTAGTTAATAAGACAAATTTTCATATTTCTGAACTTCCTATTGGACATGGTGGATGTTTAAATAAAGATGCATTGACTCATAATGCAACATATTGATGTGAAAACAGATATGAAGATAAAATTAGTGGCAGAGGGAGTCAGCCCAAAACTGGATGCTAAAACTGACTTGTAAACTTAACAAATGTGCAGCAAACTTGAAAGGACAGCTGACAATATGCTACTAAACTTCAATCAGGCTATTGTTTGCTGTGCTTGTTGAAGTACTATAACATGCTTGTAAGCATAAGCCAAGCTTTTATTAGTGAATTGTTTAGCAAAATCAACTGGAACAAGATGGCAGAGTACCTATTAGGTGTAATTGTTGCTTGCTGGAAAGCAATGTGACTAATGTTTGGAGCTTCCTGCTGCTATCTCAGGTCCATTTGTCAACAAGGAAAATTATAAGGTGCTTGAATTCAGAAGCCAGTTCCATGTTTTCAGCTCCCACAACCCTGCTGCTGTGTGGTGGCCAGGTTCCAGGAATAGGTGGGGTCCCTGTCACTTGTGTCACACAGCACTGTGATGTTGCTGTACCTGTAGTGAGCACACATTCCAAAACATTGAAACCCAATTTTAGCGTGTCTCTCTTTCTACGTCTTTTTACTTTAATTAAAATTCCACAGACAGCCACTTATAAGCGAGACACAGACAAAATGAGAAACACCAAAAATACTTCAGAATAATAAGAGTCTTTGAAAAGAAAGGGGTAAATACAAGCAAAATTTCTTGCATAAAATCCAGCTTAGAATCACAGATTTGTTCTGATGGTAATTTGAAACAGCACAATATAAATGCTTATAATAAAATGATGTGATCTTGTGAAACGGCATTGAAAACATTGCCCCCAAACCCAAACTGTTACAGTAGCGCCTTGTGTCACAATGATAGTCATCCACAGTGACTGCACAGATTTGTGAACTCAGAGAGCCCTTGAGGGGATTTGCCCTTGGTGGAGTGACAGCAGCATGGTACAACACCCAGAAACACAGAGACCTGTTTAGTAGAAGACTTTAAACTGATTATGAAAATGATATCAATGTGCTTTTCTCTATAATTTTATAGGCACATAGGGAAATCTGTGAAGATTTTCTAGACCATGAAAGTCTAAAAGAGGCAAAACTATAACAGCAAAAGTGCCAGGCACATATCAGTCTAGTATCCCACATACATTAAGGGCAAGCTTACCAGAGTATTGGCCTGCTTGTTACAAATGTGTTGCCATTTGAATTAGATTATGAATCAAACCTCTTGTTTAAATATCTCTGTTGTTTCAGTAACTAAGGAAGCTAAACAAGTTAGTGTATATGCTCCCCTAAACTCTGCCAATTTCAGACATCCCCTATAATATAAAAAGCTATGTGTAACTGCTGTCCACTGACTGAGTTGCGTTGTTTGGGCTTTCTGCTCTTAGCTCCTGCCAAAGTGATGCTCCAAAACCTCACTCAGGTCTCCAAGTAGAAATACAGCTTTCAGAAGCATTATTTAATCTCTTTATAGTTTCAATAGTTTGTTTTCCATGTGCTTCCTTCCTTGGTTTGGCACCTCTTCAGTTCCTCATTCAAGCATGGAAGTAATTGTGCCAAGACTAAATGGAAAACATTTGATAACACTTAGACATCTTTATGCTGTTCCTTGTCTGCAAAATTAGCTAAATGTCAGTTTAAATGTTATTTATTTTGTCTTACAATTCATTAAAAGTAACTTTATCCACCTTTGAAAACAGAGGAGAAAACTTACCACCTTATGTGCACAGAATGTGCTTCCAGAGGTAGCTTCATCACATAAAAGCGTGATTTATTTTAGAAAAGCCTCATTTTCCATACTGGAAGTTTTCAAAACAACCAGTGGCATATCCAAATACTTCTGCAATTACCACCCAAACAATTGAACTAAATGAGACAATTGGGACTGACTTGGTTCATAACTGGGAGCTGGTGACAGCATGACAAGCCTCAATGCAGGGAGGTAAGAATTTCCACCACCACCACCACCACCCCCCCCCCCCCGTTGTCCTTCGCAAGGGACACTGTCCCCGTGCCTAAGCATCGAGAATGTGCAGCCCAGCATCTTTGAGTAAACACAGGACAAAGGCATGTTTATGCTAAAAAGCTTTTTCTTTAACTTCACAGAATCAGCGGGTGTCTCTTGTCTGGCCACTCACGGGTGCTGGGTCAGATGTTTGGGAGCAGGGCACAACAGGCAGCTGGGAACAGTAATGGGTTTTATTACGCTGTTCATCTGCCAACACTTTGTAGAATCCATAAAAAAACACAAAAGGGAGTTTACACTTCAGAAAAGACCTACAATTTTTATTTCCTGCTTAATGGGTTTTCAAATGGCTGTGTAGCACTGTTGAAACAGCTCTTCAGTCTTTATAACTTTTTTTTTCTCACTTGTGTTTAACATGTGAAATGTCTGAGCTCATATGTTTCTGGTTTTGAAGCATAATCACGGCACTGGATCAAACTTTTAGACTATTGATATGCACAATTTCAAGTTCTATCTTCTTGCAGTTGAAAAGATAATTTGCTGTTGTCTTCATAACATCCAAAGAAATTAGACTATTTGGAAGGTTCTTAGGATTTTTCATTACAAAAGGAACATAATGACTAAAACTTGAGTATGAAAGTAAGAGGATGCAGATCAAGCAAAAAACAGGTCTTACTCGTGTTCTTATTTTAGTAAATATTCATTTAGCAATTAATTTTCTTCAAATGAAGCTGCTGGTTTGCCCCTCTGGAGTTAACACCCTGCTCACTACCATTTGAGATACCCAGTTTCTCTTCTGCTCAGCACAGATCTGTATAGATAGTTACATGAGTAGTCTTTTTCTTTTCATTTCCCTTAGAAGCCACTACCATTATAACCACCTTCATT